AATTAATTTTAATTATTGTCAATTTTTAAAAATTTAAAAATTAAAAAAGTAACTTTTAAAATTTAGTTTAAATTAATTTTTTTATTTATACTACAAATAATATATATATATATATATATATATATTTTCTTTAAAATCTTCATTGATTTTACCAAATATACAAATAGTAAATAAATTAGAATAAAAAAATCTATATAAATTATAAATTTATTCAAATATTATTCTTTTTTAAAAAAAAAAACACCTATACAAAAATGACTTCTAATAAGTAACTAACCTAAATCTTAATCCAAACTTAAAAATACAAGCCTAATAAATGATGTAAAACAACTCACATAAATAGAAATGCATATCATATCTACAAAAGAAAAAATAACATTTTATCATTATGAGAATAAATAATATTCTTAATAAATTAATTAATTGAACAGGAATAATAACTTCTCTATTAAAAAAAACATTAAAAGGAATGTAAAAATAAATAGATAATAAAATATGTATTTATAATTGCTGAAAGTCTAAACCTTTGGTTGATTGTCTCGTGGCTAAAAAATCGTACTTTACAATAATAAAATCTAAAAAATAACATATTTACATATATAACATTTAAAAATCATACAATAATTAAAAATTTGTTTTTATAAGCAGCTTTAAGTATACCACAAGTTTATAATAAAATAAATTTATGATATATAAAAAATAAATAAATTGTGTTTATATATAATAATATATTTAATAATGTGTTGATTTTATAAATAATTAAAGATATTTATTATTATGGAGCTATATTTATTTTTATAAAAAAAAAATTAAATTCCTTATTATTAATTTTGTTTAATTTTTTTTAAATATTTATCAAAAATTACTTACAATTTTATTAAATATTTATAATATTTTACTATAATATCATTTAATTTATCTTTAAAATTTTTTTTCTATTCTATATTTATAAATGTATATATAAAGAAATATGCAAATTTTATATTTTTCTATAATATATAAATTTATATTATTTAATATCATCAAGTATTTAAATTATTTTTGCAAATAATATGTTAATTTTTTTTAATTTTTTATGCATTTTTTTTAAAAAGAAATTAACAGATAAAAAAAGATGCGAATAATAGATAATTGCATTTTTTTAGTAGATTGTACTTTAAAAAAGATAAATACACAAAATATAAAAGCAATTAAACTTTTTATAATTAATAAATTATCAATCTATGTCTTTTTCAATAAAAATAAAGCCGAATAGAACTTAATTTTGAATAAATTATATTTATAAAAATCTGTATATTTAAAATTAAATTTAAAGATTAGTAAAGCTTAGTTTTTTTCCATCTCTAATTTATGATTTTTAAGAAACTTTTTAGTTTAAAATTGAAATTATTATAGATAAAAAAAGTTGAATGAAAAATATTAATACTACTATAATTTCCTATAGATAGAAATCTAATTTAAAAATTATATATTATAAAGAAAAAAAATATTGGATATAAATATGGCGATATATTTAGGTTTTAAAAATATGAATTTCGTATATTATTATTAAAATAAAAAATAAAAAATAATATTATTATTTATTTTTAAAAACATTTAATTATGCTTTTAATATATATGTTAATAATAAATATTATAATTGTTTCAAAAGATTAGTTTTAGTACATCAATATCTTAATACTTAGAACGACATATGTAGAATACACTTATAAAATACAAACAAATTAAAAAGCTTAGTTAAAATTTTTGTAAATTTTCAGTGACATATAAATATATTCATTCTAAAGTTTTATAAAATAATTAAAGAAAAAAATATATATAAAAAATAATAATTTAATAAGAAATTTGTATATAAAAAACTATATGTGGTTTATTTTTAATTTGATTTAATATATTTATATTTCTAATATTTAGTAGTTTTTAATATTTTGTGTAGTTGAAACTTAATTTATTTAATTAATTTGTATGAAGAAAAGTTATATAAAATAGAGTTAATTAAAGATTTTATTTGTAAATTAAAATTTTTTCAATTTCAATAATATATATTGTATTGTATAATTAAATATAAATTTGTTTTATTTTGAATAAGATTTTTTAGTTAATTATAATTGAAACATTTATCTTGATAACGAAAATGGGTTTTATATTTAAAAAGTAAATACAAATAAAAATCAATAATCATTAATAAGTTTAGGTTTATATTATTTTTTAAAAAATTAAATAAAAAAATTACTTATATTAATATTTTATTAAAAAAAAAAAATTAAATTGAAAAATATAATACATAAATAAAAATTGAAATATTTTTTAAAAAAATTAATTTATTGAATATGAAGCCAATATAAACAAATAAATATATAATATATAAATTAATATATAGCATATATATTAATATTTTATGTAATTTATATTTTTTTTTATTAATATTTTAAAATAATCATTATAAATTTATCTTTTATATTATTTAATTTTATTATTAAATTGCAATATTATCTTCTATATTCATTAGTTTTCTTGCTATTTAAGCTTAGTAGCTATTTTGTGATTCTAGCAAAGTAGCTTCCATAAAAGCACTCATATTTTTAGAAAAAACTGGCTAAGAACATGAATTATTATTACCATTAGTATTCAAAATTGAAATTTGATCTTTATATAATTTCAAAAAATTGCTGGTGTTTTCAGTTTTTATAGACTTAAATTTATTTTTCGATTAAATTTTTGGCAAAAATCTTATTTTTTGCATGCTTTTGCTTTTATTAGACTAAATTATTTCATTTTATGCCTTAAAATAGGCTTATATTGTATCTTTTTTTTATTCATAGAAATCTTCGGCTTAAGAATGTCCATTTAAAGATGCTTTTAAAGCTAATAATCCAACCTTAATTTAAAAATTTTTTTTTTTTTAGAATTTAATTCTTATTTTTTTCTAAAAACGAAGGTTAACTTGTTTTTTAAGGTGAAACTTCTTCTTTTTGTATTTTTCGGATGATTTTTTTATCAAATTCTGATCTTATTTTTGAATCTCCGGTTATTTTAATAAGTTAAGTGTTTTTATTAGCCCAAGGCTTTTTTCTTTATTATTTTCGTAAGAAAAGTCAATTAAAAAATCATGATTTATTCTAAAAAAAATATATATTAATAAATCAGATAGATTCATAGGCTTATATAATAGAGTTTAGTAATTTTTTTCCTTTTTTTTTAATTAATCTATATATATTTAGTTAGCATGTTGACTTGTAGCTAATGTTTTAAAATCTTTTAAACTTAAAATTTTATCCTTCTATTCATTTGTTAAATCATATAGACTTATTATTGTTGTTGGAGATATTGGAAGCTAAAATTTTTGTATAACCTTCATAAAATCAGATATATGGATGCCTCTTGCAGTGTTTAAATGTTAGGTTATGCTTTTAAAAATAACCCAGATGAAATTTGACTAATTTACATCTTCTTAATCTCCTATGTAACGTTTTTAACATTTTTCTTAGTATCGCTTTTTTAACCAATTTATAGTAAACTAATTGCTTAGTAGGTTTCTGTTATTTTCTTTTATTTATTTTGGGTTTTAAAGGCTAAATTAATTATTTATTTATTGTTATATTTGATTATATTTTTCTTTTTAGTTTTCATAATTATTGTTTTTCATTTTTTTTATTTTATGTGTTATTTTATATTTTTTTGAAAAAAAAATATAATAATATTAATAACAAAAATAAATAAAATTGTTTCCTTGTATAATTATAAATTTAAAAATATAATTAAGTGAATATAAAAGTGTTTCTGCTTTAATAATATTAGTTTAAAAATATTTATGAAAATATTGTAACTTTTTGATATTAATTTTTTATATATTTAGGATTTTATAAATATGTATTATTCTATTAATAAAATATACTTTTATATTAATAATAATAATAATTATAATAATAATAATAATAAAGTATTTATTAAATTTTATATTTATAAATTATTTAAAATATTTTATTTACATAAAAAATTTAAATTTACATTAATTAAAAATAAAATAACTCATTAATGAATATTATGCTTATAATAAAATATACTTTAAGGGTTTTCCATATTTTTCCTATTATAGCAATATCAGGTGTAGTAATAAACAGTTATGTATTCAGTGAAAGTGTCGAAATAATAAACTAAAATTTATTTTACTAAATATGTATATACTCTTCTATATTATCTGGTTTTCTAAATTCTGTATTTATAAAATATATTGAAAAATAATTTTAAATACGAAAAATGAGAGTCTTATACACATGTATAGTTCATTCTAAAATGCTTATAATTATTTTAGTTTTTACTCCATTATTTCGTTTCCTATTTGATGAAAAAATAAGCCTATTTTGCTAATTTTGTACTATTATATATTGCTTAGTAATAAGTCCTTTTGCAAGGTTTTTTAGGGAATCAATAATTAAAAAATAAGATAAGATAAAAACATGATAACCTTAAATAATTTTTTGTTAATATAAATAAATGACAAATACAAAATTTAATAAAATATATAAATATTTAAAAGTATTAAAAAAAAAAAACTTATATATATAATTATATATTATATTTATAAAAATAAATCATCTTAACAAATACAAGCATTCCTCACTTACTTTAAGATCCCAATCATCAAGACAGTTTTTTGTATTTTTTACAATCCATGGATGATTAAGAACTTTTTCAATAGAAATTCTCAAAATAGGTTCTTTAACAAGTAATAATTAAATAAATTATCTTGCCAATTCGGAAACAAAAGGCGGGAATTCAAGAAAGTCTTATGCTATATTTTTATTTTCAAATGGAGGTTTTCCAACTAATAGTTCATAACAAAGTATTCCAATACTCCAAATATCCACCTTTTAATCATAATCAGTTCCTTAGACGATTTCAGGGGAAACATAATCTAGTGTTCCACAAAAGGTCATCCTTTTTTCTTGAAGAGTATAAACAGACCATCCAAAATCACTTATTTTGAGGACTCCATGGATATTAAGAATATTTTCAGGTTTAATATCTCTATGAATAATTTCATGGGAATGCAAATAAATTAATCCTTCGGAAATTTATCGAATGTAATTTGCAGTTTTTTCTTCAGTAAATCTTTTTAAAGTTTCCTTTTTTAATTCTTTATATATATCAAAATGACATGCAAACTCTAAAATTAAATACACTTTTGTTTCGTCATGGAAAAAACCGTACATTTTTAATATATTTGGATGATTAGAAAACATCTGAATTTTTATTTCTTATTCTAGTTATCTTTCCATACAACTTTCAGATAAATTTTTTTTGTTAATTTATTTTATTGCTACAAGCATATTACTTTATTTATGTCTTTTTTTATTTAATATTTATATAGAATTTTTATTTTTTTAAATACCTAGCCATATAAACATTTCCAAAACGACCTCTTCCAATACATTTTCCAATTTAGAAATTATCTAAAGACCATTAATTGATTTCAAAAGAAGAAACAAAGAGGTTCTTTTACTTATCAATACTTTTTTGAAGGTTTTTTTCTAAATAATTAATAGCCAATTATTATTCTTTTTGTTGTTTAATATTGTTAGAAAAGGAAAAGTTATATTCTTTTTCAATAGAGTTTTTTTGCTTGTATAAATACATTAAGATTCTTCTAAAAGAAGTCCCTTTTCTTCTTCTTATTTTTTGTTGCCAAAGAAAGGAAACATAGAAAATGGATTTATGCTTGGCATTACTTTTTCGTACAAAATACTTCTCATTTCAACACATTTATTTAAAACTGATTAAGGTTATATTGTTTGAACATTTGTTTTGGCAATTTAATCTTAATATAAATTTCTTGTTTATTAACTACAATTTTAATGTTTTAATGAAAATGAATTACTAGTTGAATTAATGGAAGTTAATATATTATTTAAAGTATTGTTTAGGACACTTTAGCCCATATTATTAGCAGGGAAAGTATTTGCTGTTGTTTATATATAATTTGTTGAAAAAGTATTTTATTCGGAACTTTTTTCTATTAAGAATTATTAAACATGTTAAAATGCACTTTCTTATTCATTTAAAAATATTTTTTCTTAAGAAGTTGTACTTTTTTCGATTAAAATAGATGATTTTCCTCTTAAAAGAAAAGAAAGTTAGTTTTAAGGCTAGTATTCGTCTTTTTGGTCTATTTAAAAATTAAAATTTTAATCTACACTTTTGTAATGTTTAAGATTTTATTAAGGTTAAAATAGGTTCTTTTCAATAAAAAAAGGAGAACGAGAAAATATATATGAATTATTTGTTGAATTTTTAGAAGATTTTTTTAAAAATGTTGATTAATCTTTTGATTTATTATTTATGGGTGTTATACATATTCTTTGATTTTTTAAAATATATTACATATATAAGTTTTTTACCTAGATAATTTTAAATTTGCTTAAGAAGGATGAGATGATTTATTTATAATTTGATTTGTTTATAAAAAACCTCGATAAGATTTGGAAAATTATTAAGAAGTCTTAGTATTTATAAAACTATTTTATACATATGTATTATTATTATTATTATTATTATTATTATTATTATTATATTTACAATTATTTTTATTATTATTATTTTATAAATATGATGTAGTTGTTTTTTCATTTTTTTTTTAATATATTTATTATATATTTTTATTATTGTTTACATTAATATTTTATTTTTTTTCATTTATTTGTATATTTATTGATTTATTTAAGGTTTTATCTATTTCTAATTTACAGTTTATGCTATTATAATTTCTTTCTTTTAAATTATTTTATGTATTTGCTATTGTTAATGGATTTCTTTAATTATTTTGATTTTTTTTTTAATTTTGGAATGTATGTATTAGTTTTAATTCAATTTTTTTATTATTCATTTTTTTAAATTAAAATAATAAATATATTTTTTTATTTTAAAAATTAAACAAATATATATATATATATATATTTACATATATTTTAAAATTTTCACATTAATAATTCAATTATAAAAGGTAAAATAATTTAAAATTTTGTTATATTATTATTTTTTTTATAAACATAAATAATATTTTCATAAAACTAATTTACATTATTTAATTCTTCTATAAAAAATTTAATTTAAACACCAATTTTATTTTTTCTCATTATAATTTATTCAATATTATCTATTTTTGTTAATTCTTCATTTTCATTTCCTAAAAAAACATCTTTTCCCCATTTCTTTAATTCCTTTTCTACTTTTGCACTTAAAATAATTTATTTAACGAAATCAATTTTTTTCTATAATGATCCTTTTTCAAAAATATGCATAAAACTTTTCAAAAAATCTATATTTTTGACCATTTTATTATATTAAATTCCCATAACAATGATTGCATAAGCTAATTTTGTACATAAATCGCTTTTAGAAGCTTAAATGTAAATATATTCATTTTCATATCTTTCGAATTTTATAAATAAGTAATTAGAATCGCTATCATTTTCAAAAAAAAAATATCTAAATAATTTTTTTAGCTTTTATTAAGTATTTTTTTTCTTTAAATAAATCAACTAATTCATCTGCTGAAACTCTATTTTTTTAATCAGCAACTATACATTTACTAATAATTTCGTTTTCTTTATAATATTAGGCGCTATGAATATCATATTGATTGAATTTAGCAATATTTTATTATATTTCTTAAATTGATTTAGCGTTAAATAAAATCTTTTCGTAAAGAATTTCATAAAATAGGCATCCGAAAGACCAAATATCACTACTTTTACCTCCTTATTCTCCTTTTAATAATTCTGGACTTATATAATAGATTGTTCCAACAAAAGAACTATTAAATTGTTAACTTTATACCTAAGAAATACCAAAATCAGCTATTTTTGCTATATAAATTCCATCCTTTTAATTTAATAATACGTTTTCAGGCTTAATATCTCTATGAACAATATTATTTTAATGTAAAGCATTTAACCCATTGGCAACTTATTCCATGATATTAATTTTTTCTATTTTATACATATTAGATTACTATATAAACTCTAATAAAGTTCCACTATTACAATATTCTGTTATTAAAAAAGAAATATTTTAAAATATTATTATATCGTATATTTTCAATATGTTTTGATGATGTATTTTTCTCTTTATTTCTTATGCAATTTATAATTCAGAATCTAAATAAATATTTTGATTATTTTGCTCATCTTTTTTATATATTAATATATATTTTTATTTTTTATATGTGTTTTTACCATACTAATAAATTTGCTTTATTGCTACTTTTTCTCTTGTTTCTTTTATTTCACCTAAGAAAACTTTACCAAATGCGCCTTAACCTATACATTTTTATTAATAAAATATATATTTGTATTTTTCTCCTTATAATAAATCAGGAAATTAAATGTTTTATTATAAATTGTTGTTCATATACTTTTTTTTTTTATTTATATATATTTGTTTTTATTTTTTTTTATTAATATTTTCGAACTTTATTTTTAATTGTTGATAGTTTTTTTAGTTATGTTGACTTAATTTTATAAAAATTTGCAAAAAATTTAAAATTTAAATTAATTTTTTTTTTTTTTTTTTCAATAAATATATAGTTAATAATATTTTTTTTCGCAAAATTTTTATTATTTTATTATGTTTTTTTAAATATATATAAAATATTTATTACTTTTTTTAATATTATATTCAATTATTATTAAAATGATATTATATTTAATTGCCTATTTTAACAAAATAATATTTGTTCTTTATATTATAATATATTTTATTATATTTCTTTTGAATTTAAATCAAATATGAATATTAAAAATATCTTTTTATTTTATTAATTTTTAATATTTTATTAAATATTTAACTTAAATATTTTTAATCTTAAAATAATATTGTTATATATCTAAACCATATTCTAATATTAACTATTAATAATAAAAAAGTATTTTTTTAAATAACACTAATTTAATTTTTCTATATTTATTTCAATTATATTAACTTTACCTTAAAATTAGAATAATATGTTTATATATAATTTCTTTTAATTTTATTACCTTATTTTGTTTGAAAATATAAGCTTTTTTTTAATAATTTTAATTATATTGATAGAAAATTCCATTGATTTAAACAACGAAAAAGTATATAAATCAATAAATAATATGTTAAATTTAGAAAAGCATATAAGTGAATCATTAAAACTTTTTATAATATTATTATTTTTTTTAAAAAAAATATTAACTATTTATGAATTAAGTAATATTTTTCTATTTATTTTTGTATATTAATATATTACTTGATCATATTTTATTTTTTTCTGTAATTTAAAAAAAAAAAATCAATCAGATAAAAAAAAAGCTAGAAAAATAAATAATGGCCTTTTTTTTATTTATAAATTTTTTTTTTCACAAAATAAAAAGATAAATGTAAAATAATATTAATTTATTATATATATATATATATATATATATATTTATTTTTAAATAAATAAAATTATGAATAGTTATTAATTTATTTTGATTATTTCTTCTTATATTTTATAATTAACAAGTCATAGCGTTTTTTTTTAAAAAATATATTAAAAAGTAGAGATTACAATATTTTATTTTTTTCTTTGATTCAGTCCATCAGATTAGGAAAAAATATATTTTCTTCCCCTCATAGTCATTTTTA